GGAGGCGGGGGGATTGTGTCCACAGGTTCTGTGCTGAAAAATGGTGTCCTTCCTCCTTTCCTCCCTCTGGATGGCTGCGCGGCCGCCCATCCCCGCCGCAAACAGGCCAGGACGGGCTGGGCGCCGCTCCGGCCCGAGCGCGGCCGTTGCCCTCTGCGGCAGACGGCGGTGCGCGCTCCCCGCTCCAGCGCCCCGGCTCGCCCGGCGGCCCGCGCGCCCTCCCGGTGCAGCAGGCGGGCGCTGTGACGTTCTCGGATAAATGCCGTGTAACTGTGTAGGCGAATGGGAGCTAAAAATAAGAACGGAAAATCTATCATTAAGGTATCATTGCGCCAGCGCAGCTATTTGAAGGCTCCCATGGTCCCCGGCGCCTGCGTTTGAAGCCCGCCTTCAGGCTTGGGGGGGTGGGTATTTGCAGAAAACTCCCAGGCGCGGCTCAACAGTCAGACCTCAGGGCGCAGGGGGTGGCGCCCGTAATTATGGCAACACTTAAATAAAATAAAATAAAATAAAATAAAATAAAATAAAATAAAATAAAATAAATAAAATAAACGCTCACCTCCCCCCCATCTCCGCCTGTATTGTCCTCAGGTCGCTGGGGAAGCCACCAGAAGTGAGGCTGGATGCTGAAATGAATGTGACCCAGCCGATTACGCAAATATTAGGACTGAAAGCTCTTTCAAATCTATTTAGCCATCTACCTTCTTCCATCTAACTCGGATTAGAAAAATAAAGTACCAGGAGGAAGCCTTTGGAGGAGAAAATGACAAATGGGACTTAACCCAGGTCTACAATGCGCCGCGGCGGGGCGCAAAGACGCAAACTCTGGAGATGGAGAGTCTCCGGGGTTCCACGGGGTTAAACGAAAATTGATCTGATTTGCTTTTTAACGCCCAAAAGGGAGAAGAAGAGATCAGCGGAGGCAGGTCAGGATTTGTGTTTGTGCGTGTGCGTGAGTGTCCCGGGAGGGGGAGGAGGCGCCAAGGTGCAGCCTGCGCGCGGCTCTGCGCCTCGGCGGGCTGCGTGCGTGTGTCCCTGTCCGCGCTGCTGAAACGGGCTCTTCGAGGGATCGGCGTCACATGACTCCGCCTGCCCCTCGCCAGCGCGCAGCTCGCCAGCCCCACAGTTTGCCCGGCGCCGGGGGAGGGTCGGGCCGCATCTCCCGGGCCCGGAGGCTCTGCGGAGCGGAGAATTGGTTCTGGCGGGGCATGATACATCTGGATTCCAGAAGCCGCGGCTCGGCGCCAGATCCCGGAGTGTAGAGATTTGAGGGGGAGGGGAGAGCGAGAAGGAGCGAGCGAGCGAACGAGCGCCAGAGAGAGGCAGCGCGCAGCGCGCACGGACAGGGGCTGCCGGGTGCCGCGCGGAGAAGATGTAAGCGCGTGGAGTCTAGCTGGCCTCGGAGCACCATGCAGAAGGGGATCCGGCTGAACGATGGCCACGTCGCGTCCCTGGGACTGCTGGCGCGCAAGGACGGCACGCGCAAAGGCTACCTGAGCAAGCGGAGTTCGGACAACACAAAATGGCAAACCAAGTGGTTCGCGCTGCTGCAGAACCTGCTCTTCTACTTCGAGAGCGACTCGAGCTCGCGGCCCTCGGGGCTCTACCTGCTGGAGGGCTGCGTCTGCGACCGCGCGCCCTCCCCCAAGCCTACGCTCTCGGCCAAGGAGCCGCTGGAGAAACAGGTGAGGCCAGCGCCGCGTCTGACCCTTCAGCGCCCGGGCCGCGGCCCCCGGGGCTCAGGGCCTTCCGC